AATTTATGTTTAAATAAACAACTGCAATAAATTTTTATATTTTTTTAAGCAATTGATCACATATTTTATACTCTTCCAAATCGCATAAAATTTAGTAAACAAGTTTGTGTTTTATTTTACATAATCATTTGACATAGAACAACTGTATTAAAATATTTCATTTTTTAATTTCAAGTAAAAATTGTTCAAATTCGTATTGTTCACTCTTTTTATCGATAAATTCGTTATATACTTATGTATGATATTTTGTACTAAATGAAGTACGAATAATATACTATCAATTAAAGAATTTAATTATATTGCTGATGATATCAAATTATCACGAAACATATGTGACAATTTGATTTGCAAAACTGTTATGAATTAAAATAATTAAAAATTAGCATTTATATAATATATCAAACGATACTGCAAATACATTATACACATATACATACACATTTATTAAATGTAAGATAAAACCACTGCTTATACTAAATCTTAATATAATACTAAAAGAAATGTAATTCATTAAGTGGATGGCAGGTAGACATTCTACCACTTTCCATTAATATTTATAATTATATAAAAAGTTTTTGGAGCTCCATTATTAACTTTGCATACAGATTAATTTTTTTATTCACATAAAATCTGTACACATATTGCCACAAAATCTATCATAGATTTTCACCTATGCATGCTGTGAAGTGTTTTCCAATTTTCTAATATCATTCTTTTATTAATATTGCCAATTCGTATGTGTAAAATTATTCACATACAAATACATTCACTAGTATATTTATTACTTAAACATCAAACAAAGTTTTCAGTGTAAACTAAATTTTAAGAAAAAATAATGTACTAGTATTTTTTATCAGTTATTATCTATCTTCAGATATTATAGATTTTAATTTAATAAATGTAAATACGCTGCTAAAAAGTTATGCCAGAACCATGAATTTACATTAGATGGATGTAAGGAAAAAATATATTGATAAAATTTTCATGAAGTATCAATTGATAGTAGATAACTGATATTCCATATTTATTTTTAATTGGCTAGCATATATATAACATTTAAATTAAAAATATTAATTTAGTAGCCAGACCTTTGAAGAATTCAATAAATTTTATCACATTAAATTAATATTTATTTTTATAAATTAGTATTTGTTTTTAATTGTGACAGATCCAATATCAAAATCTTATACATACAGAATGAATATTTACAAAATACTAGCAACAGTAAAAAGTAATATATTAAATTAATACTTAGTAAGCTGTTGTAATAGTCACACACTTATGGTCAAATATTGCAATTTATTTTGTCTTTACTGTTTTTGATACATACATACAATTGGACTTATAGAGAAGTCGTGCTACATTTACTAAGAAATAAACTCATTTGTTATATTATGCATTTATTATAACTCTCACTGTAAATCAGCATTATATTTAAGGAAATTTAATTTTAATATTTAATATTACTTATTTTTTGCATATATGTTTTTTGAACCAACTTCTGATATACAATTTATTTATGTAATGTTAAAGGAAGCAAATTTGTTTACCAATTATTTTTAATGTATTATAATAGACATCTTATATGTAGAATAATAAATTTCTATGCTCATGCGAGTCACAAACTTATGTGTGCATATTAATAATCAGTAAACAAAAAAAATAATTCCTAGTGAGAAGAAGGCAATTATTCTCCATTCAATTAAACAATGTAAGCTGGCTTGCTTAGTCTACTTGTGTACTCCACTCTTATAAAAGTGGAAAGAGAATGATTGTAAGGACTTTAATATATACTATACAAGGATAAAATCTATTTTACTTTAAATTTATGTAATTTACTGTTAGCTAATAAAAGTAATTTTATATTTAAAATAACAAGCAATAAGTAGGTTAAACGTGGAAGCTGAAATATAGTAGCATTGCGTCGTAACTTGAACAATTCGCAACATACAGAACCAAGTTATACATCAGATTAGCACCATCGCTGGAAGTTTCCATATTGAAGATGACCAGACCACAGAGATAAAAATTCTCAAACCAATAATTTAATATTCTTATGGGTATAGCCATTATTCGTAACAGAACTCGTTAAAAATTTGACATTACTAAATGGCTGTACCTGAATCAGTGGCCAAATTTATTAATTTTAATCAATTTTTAGGTCATCTTAAGTATAGTCTACCTCAAGATGTTTAATATATGTGAGGTTAAAGTCCCAAGCAACATAATCTTAGGTGGTCTAAGTCAGACGTATGAAAGATGTGTGAACTAAGAAAACACAATGTAAGAAGTTCATAAAATATTACAAATAGCATGTCAATAAAGTAGGTATTTATGTTAAAGTAACATGATATAATTATTTTATAAATAGAATGCAATATTACAATTGAAAATTTGTGATTTATCACAAAGGCATACACTGTAAAGTGGAATCGGTTGAGACTTAAAACTCATAATATGAAATATCAGTAGAGAGAATCAAAGTTTTTGAAACAGTATAAATAAATATGGTGTTAATGCACATATAGAAAGTCATTAGATGAAAACCTTAAATACAACAAAGTTACATTAACCTTGCTCATTAGAAAAGATGAGAAATAGATTGAGAACAGCTAACAGAGCAATATATAGACTTGATCATTATTATTTATAGAGCTGATATTGCTGTAAAAACATAATCAGTTTTCAATTTTTATCCTTCCTTTTGTTTCTATTTTCACTAAGAAAAATTTATCGTTTAATTTATTTGCAGTTATTTTACAACCACTTATTTGTCTGGTTACGGTAGAAATTAGTGTATGTAAAGTCTTGGTATGTTTAGCATTAATACTAAGATCAAGTATCTAGATCTGGGAATATGAAAAAAGTACATTTTCATATTTAATGGAATGTTTCACACTGAAGAGTCTACTTGTTAACTTCATGACCCAACCAATATGTTTAGCTTAGATTTTAGCTTCTTTAAATACTTTATGGAATTCATTGGTTTGAAGATTACAAACAGGATTCAAAGATTGACTCTATCACAATCTATTAAGCAGAGACAATATTTGAGATGAAAAATGGAAAAGAAGTGATATATAAAAACATTAATAATTTTGTCTATAAAAGCAGAGATTTAATATGAAATGAATCAAAAGATCTTGTTGTTATTGCGTATTCCTTAATTTAGGCCTAGTTTTAAAAATATGTAGGTTCAAACAGGCATTAAGCAATTTTTCAATCATCATTCAATAATTACGATTTAGAGATGCAATTACCATTACACTGTACTTTGACATACTATTTGGACAAAGTATTAATATTAAAGCAATGTTAACATTGAAGAAGCTATATTGAAAATATATCTATTGATTTAAAGTAATTCTCTATAGATGCGAAAACATTTGAATATAACAGGTTTTCTTGTTTTGCATTTTTGGCAGTGTTTTGTTGGACTAAATATAAGTACCTTAAACTGTTATAAATTTGGGGGCACAAATTAGAAACTATGCATTATTATATGCAGTGTTATAAACTACTATATACTTTTTGAGGATGTACATTTAATGCATAATCTATGAAAATAATGACTTTAGATAAAGGCAAGATTAATTAACATCAGATTCAATTCATCACAAATTTTGCTTCAATGTGGAAGATTAAATTTATTGTCTATATTTAAAAACATTTATAAGTCAACTAAAATTGACCCTAACTCAAATTTCACAACTGCGCTAAAGAAATCGAAAAAATACATACTATGAAATATAATGTTGGAACAAAGATTCAAAGATAATTTTGCAATGTGAATTTTATGTTTATCAATGGGAATTAAAAGTTGCAAAACATAAAAGCAGAGTATCTAATACAGAGAGATCAATTAGCATGAATCAAAGCAGTTCAAAAAGAAAACTAAGATACGTCATCAAACTATTATAGCTCAGTTTCATAAAAACATGTATTATACGTTGACAGAAAATTGGCACCCAGGACGGCACAGAGGCAAGAGGAGTCTTTTGATGTGTGCTTTCTTTATTCTCACTGTCACATGATAGGATTAGATGTGCAATTGTTCTCAAATTTTGCTAATTATATAAAAAAAAAATGTTATGTAGTATTTAAAGTAATTTAAAAATGATTAATTTTGTTATAAGTCATGGATATAGTGTAAAATGTCTAAATTTTACTTTTAATAATGCATGTTCACAGTACTTCTTTTCATACAATTTTTTGTATTATTTGTGAACATATTTTTACACTCTTACTCATGAAAATTTTAATATGTCCCATAAAAAGACTGTTTCAATGAAATTAAATAATAATTTTGTGTAATAACATATTTATTTATTAATATATAACGTTATAATAGCTATTCTATAACAAAATATACTATTCTACAGAAATATTCAAACAGATAAAAATAAAATGGATATGCCTCTCATAAAAGTAATCATACATTAAGGTATAACTTAGTAAATCTTTGTTATATCACAAGAAATGCTTAAATTATGACAGAAATTACCCCACCATTTTTTATTTGTCATCATAGCTTTTTTATTCAATTATGTTTAACAAGCAGTCAACGTAAAGAAGAAGAAAAGATATAAGCATAGAAATTTTTAATGTCAGTATTAAATTTCATAAAAGAAGTTAATCTCTAAAAGAATAAAGAAGTTGTCAAAACAATAAATAATGATAAAAATAAATCATGTAATTAATGGTCATTCTATAATTTTTAATAATGAAAATGAGATTTTTGTTACAAACGAAACATAGTCTCCCAAGTGAAAAACAATTAACTCTTGAAAATTTTCAAAGGTATTCAAGAAAATTCGAATATAATAATTGCTTACAGTGAAAGAAACTTCTGTTTATGATATCAATTGTATCAAGAGAATTGACTTTATAAAATAACAAGATAACGTGGTGCATCATTGGAATTAAAAAATATAATCCTAGTTGTACAACATAGAGGCAAATGCTATTATAGATCACTGAACATATTTAGATATTCTTAAAAAACATTTGAAGAACAAGCTATTTTGATCTTTTAAAAAGGTCAAGCTCCTAAATATACAGCTCATGTAAATTAGAAATGACTACTGTATAATGTCTGAAACACTTTTTTTCTTCACCTCAGTTCTCAGATTAAAGTATGTTTGGGGTTAATTAAAAAAAAATGTAAGAAAACGTAACATAATGAATAAAATTATAAAAATGCTTTAGAGAAAAAAGCGACAAAGGTCCGATTGAATTTGATCGCAAAGTTCATATATTCTATGTTAAGAAAATTAAAAACTATTTAAGGGAAAAAAGACTTAACAAAATATTTATGTAACTTATAATTTCGACAAATAAGATTGCAAACGTTTTTGTGAGATGCGTAACTTGTTTTTTTCTTATTTGTTCAAATGTTTCTAGAGAATAATAAATGTTGTTATAAAGTAGTTAATATTGCTTCATACGTTAATAAATAAATATGTTGTTAGATGAAGTTATTATTCATTTTAATCGAGATAGCTCTTTTATAAGATGTACAAAGACTCTTATAAGTAACTATGGATAAATTGTATCATTCGTCATATAACACAATTGTGTAATTAAAATTAACTACAGAATTTATTGTATTTAAATTAATATGGTTGGATAAGGATATTCTGTGAACGATAATTGTTATTAAATGTATTAATAAAAATTCGGAATCATACTTTTTACAAAAAAATCCTTATAACGTTAAAAAATTTTCCTTATACAATATGTCTAATTTAAAAGCATACATATTAACTTTCAAACTATCCAATATATGAAACAATTTTCTCATGAAAGCAGTTTGATGTGATAAAGAAAGCTCAAAGGAATATTTTAATTGTTTTAAAAATTATTGTTTATGAGATTCTAATATGAACGTATTTTTTTAAATTGTTTATTACGAATTTCAACCTGTTTTGGACCATATATACAAAGTGTCTACTTGAACAATAATTTGTTAGATATATTTATAAAATTAGTGGTAAATATATATCAAATTTGGTTGATGTCTTTTACTCATAACATAGAAACAATATACTTGAAATACGTGAGTATATTTTCATATTCCTGTGCATAATTATGCAACGAAAGATGAATGTAGTTCTGTTTTACTCAATAGGAATAAACTCTATTCGTAGTTACTGAATCACTGTCAGGAAAATATAATTATTTAAAGTATTACCATGTCAAATTGAGAAAATTTTCCATAAATAATAACTTAGAAAGGATTAAAATATTCTATTAAGTTTTCTGCTTCAAATCAAACATTTGTAATAGTTAAAGAGATAGTATGTATACTTTTAAACCAGACATACTGTACACTGATTGTTTCATAAAATACAATGATATACGAATTGCAAGTACACTAGAATTATGAAGTTATGACCCACATTGTTTCATATGATATAATTTAGAATGTAGCACGAACATCTTTACTAGTCTGCATTGTTTATTACCAATTATAATAGTTTACTAAAAATTTCTATTGAACTTGTATATCTCCCTAAGAATATAGTCTAAGGAAGAATTTAAATGTAATACATATACGTAACTCTAAAGAGTTCATTGAATTAAGCACTACATCTTTTACTAATGTATAACATGTGTAGATATTTACATATTGTAATATTACAAAAAAATGTTTCATTTGATTGTGACTGTCTTCGTTTATAAAGTTTTGAACACATAATTACAAATAGGTTTTTAACTTCGTTAATTTTTAATTTTGCAATTGAACACATTTTTTCCATTTAATTGTAATTTTTTCATTAAATCATTAATAAATAATATTATAATTTATAAAAAATTGGAATATGCAC